GGGGGGGGGGGGGGGCGGTGTTGTTTCTGACCTCTCCCTTGTAGACGCGTCCGTCACTCCAGCGATAGGTGCCGATGCCGTGGATTTCGTTGTCGGCGAACTCTCCCTCGTAGGATGAGCCCTCGGGCCACCAGAACTGACCATTGCCGTGCTTCTTGCCCATCCTACTCGTTGGCACACACACATACGACACATACTATGTGTCAACTACACCTGTGGCGTGTTGTGTTAGGTACCTGTATTCTCCCTCGAACTTGGATCCGTCCGCCCAGACCTCGGTGGCCTGCCCGTGCTTCTGGTCGTCCTTCCACTGACCGACATACCTGGGGGTGGGTGGCAGGTATGGTGGACAACACAACACAACACACCACACACCAACAGAGCAATGAACGTACAGTTGCAGGCGCCCCTCCTGTATCTCTGTATCTTTCTCCGTGAGTGTGTGGTGTAAGTACTTTGATCCGTCAGCGTGGTAGTAGGTTCCGTGTCCGTTGGCCTTGTCGTTCTTCCACTCGCCCTCGTACACATCGCCGTCACTGTGAGTGAACTTCCCCTGACCTGCACACACACACACCAACGGTGTGTATACATGTGTGTGGTGTATTGGTTTGGTTTGGTTACCGTTGGCGAGTCCGTCGACCCACTGTCCCTCGAATTTGGCGCCATCGGGCCACTCCTGCACGCCGTAGCCGTGACGCTTGTTGCCCTACACACACACACAAGTAGGGAGGGACACACAAGAACAGATGAGCGTCATTTAGTACTCTCTATTTCCCTGCCTGCGTGTGATTGTGTTTTGTGTACGTTACCTTCCACTGTCCTGTATAGGTCACGCCGTTCTCGAGCACCACCCGAGGCCTCTCCTCCAGAATGTCGTCACCTCCGGGACCTGACCGATTCAACCAGCAAAGCACAGACCAACCACAGGCAGCCAGACACACACCAAACGGGACGTTGAGCACAAACATCCAGACAGACTGCCACCCTTAATGCCTGGCTGGCTATCTTAACAGCAGTCCGTCCCCCTGTCTGTCTGCTCCCTCTGCCCCCTGAATCCTTCTGTGTTGGTCTGACTAACTAAGGTAGGCACCGCATATACCTGGTGGTGTGGATTTGACAGTGACTTGTGGGAAGGGCTCCACCTCATCCTGACGCTCCTTCTCCGCCTCGGGGTGGATACACATACACTGACCCATCGCGGTAGACTCGCTAACGACCACCACAAATCAAACCAAATCCGCTATGCGCCCGCCGCAAAGGAAAGGCTCCCTCAAGCTCCAACGGCCGGCCCACCGAAGGCCTCAATCCCTTTAGAGAGCCGAAAAAAGAGCGGCTTGGAGGCAGCAGGCCTCTCGGAGGGCCTCCGTCGCCCGTGCAGCCGCCTAACGGACGCAACAGACGAGGCCGTGAGCGATGGGAGTATTACGGCTGTGTTCTGCAGAGGGGCGCCCGCGATGACGTTACAGCTGCCTTGACTGACGCACACACCAGCCCCTCCTTGCCGTGTTTTGATGTCGGCTACTTCCGAAAAGTTTGCGAGCTGAGATTTGCGATCGCTTTCCAACCGACGAAATCACGCAGCAGAGCAGAGCAGCTGAGGAGCTTCAGCGGCTACGCCGACACCCACCAACAACAAGGCGCGGCCTTCCCTCGTTCCTCCCGACGCGAGCTGCAGTCATGGACCTTGCTGAAGAGGGCCGTCCAGATCTTACGGAGAGCCAGAGGGCGGTGTATGCGGCCGAGATCCCCAAGGCGGAGCTGCACGTAAGCGCAGAGCACAACACAGATGCACAGATCTGTTCCCATCGAGATGGATGAGATGGATGCACCTTTGTGCGTCACGTGTGTGTGTGTGTGTGTGTGCGTGGATCTGACCAGGTGCACATCGAGGGCTGCCTCTCCCTGGAGCTGCTGTTCCGGCTGGCTGCCAAGAACAGGGTGAGGCTGCCCTTCGCCAGCATCGAGGAGGCCTACAAAGCCTACCAGTTCACGTCCCTCTCGGATTTCCTCGACTCGTACTACCTGGCGACCAAGGTGCTGGTGACGGAGGACGACTTCAGGGAGCTGGCCCTGTGCTACATGGCCAACGCATACAACGACGGCGTCTGCCACGCGGAGATCTCCTTCGACCCCCAGGCGCACCTGTCGCGAGGGGTGAGCCTCGAGACGGTGCTGAATGGGCTGCGGAAGGGACTCAAACAGGGGAAGAGCAAGTACGGCATCAGCACCATGCTCATCATGTGTTTCCACCGCGACAAGGAGGCCAGGGATGCGCTGGCATGCCTGGACAAGGTCAGTCAGAGAGGGAGGGACTGAGGGAGGGGAAAGCCACAAAGCGATTGATTGACGCCATGCCATGGGTGTGTGGGTCTGTCTGTCTGCAGGTCCGTCCGTATGCCTCCTGGATCTCTGGCGTTGGCCTCGACTCCGCCGAGGCCGGCTACCCTGCCGCACCGTTTCGCGAGGTGTTCAGGAGGGCCAAGGCCATGGGCCTCAGATGCACTGCACACGCTGGTAGGGTAGGCACACAGCTGATTGGATAGATGCACACAGCGCATCGTCAATGGCATTACGAGCGTATGAAAGATGTGCATCCATCTGTGTGTTATCGGCAGGCGAGGAGGAGGGCTGTGCTCAGAACATCACCGAGTCGCTCGACGTGAGCATACATACAAGGCAGGCACATGGACACAAGCAGGCAGACCATCGATTGGCGCTTTGATTGGTGGCTGCAGGTGTTGGGTTGCGAGAGGATTGACCACGGCATCCAGTGCATCAAGGACCGGCAGCTGCTGGAGCGGCTCGTGCGCGAGAAAATACCCCTTACCGTCTGCCCCATATCCAACGCCGCGCTCCGAGTGGTGCCCTCGCTCAAGGAACACCCTGCCAGAGACATGCTACACTCCGGTATATCCCACTGCACACATAAATATCTTTACAGCCCGCTGACGCGACGCTCTTGTTTTCCTTCTCTCTGTCAGGTCTGAAGATAACGCTCAACAGCGACGATCCACCATACAAGTGAGCAGCTTAAGAGCACTCCTCATCAGGCAGCTCATGTGTGTGCTCAAATGTGTGTGTTATATGTGTGTGTGCAGCGGTCCGGCGATCATCAGTGCCTACTGGGCGGGGATCGGTGCTGCCTACAAGGCCGCTGCCACGCACCTGGGCTTCACCCGTGGCGAGATCTTGCAGGTGGCCATCAACAGCATCGAGGCCTCCTGGCTGTCGGCCGACCAAAAGAAGCACTACCTCAAGCAGATCGCCTTCTTCGACCAGCAGTTCGGGGAAAACGACGGCATGCCGCCCGCACAGAGTGGCGATGTGTATGACGTGGAGGCTGCAGAGGGGGAGTGATGAATGAATGGGTGCGGGCGTGGGAAAGGGGTGAATTGCATGCCTAAGTACTTACATACATGGATGGGATGCATCGCGGTGTCGTGTTGTTGACTAAATGACTCGCTTCATCCATCAGCCGGGCTTCCTTTCGTATGACGCTTTCGACCGTCATGCTGATAAACAGTGTATGGAGCGGAGCCGCACCGTTTATCTGCATGGCGGCAGGGCTACTCGCGACCCGGGAGGAAGCACAGGAGACGGGGAGAGAGGACGGGGGATGGCGTGTTTGTCTGTGTTTGTGCAGTGAGTGGGTCAATTGGCTCATTTCCTTTATAAGATTTTTGAGAGCCAGTGAGTGTGTTTCTTGTGCAGATTTTTCTCCAGTGACCTAAGTCCATCGTACGGTGCGGTGCGGTGCGGTGGATGTGTGGTCGGTCGGTCGGTCGGTCGACCTGTACCGTAGCCATCAATACACACACGCGCACCCAAGATACATACATGTAGGGAGAATGCGGTGCGTAGGCTAGGTAGGTAGGTAGGTAAGCACAGCATGCTGTGGTCGTTTATCCATCCCCTCCTTGGATGGATCATATTCCACTACGACGCGTCGGGGGACATTCATATCCTGGGCGGGTTTCAAGTGCGTCTTAAGATGTGACATACATACAGACGCCTCATACGTATTCCTTTTTCCTGTCTGAGGTCAGTCAGTGCTTCGGTCGGGTGTGGTGTGCTTTGTAAGGTGTGCATGCCGTGCGTGTGGATGGGTGACGACCGTGCGTGAGCGTGTGTGGGACTCTTTGGGTGTGCTTGATCAACGACATGATGGATGCGGCCTCGTCGAAAAAACAATGAAAGCAGCATGAATACAGAGAGGGTCTCTACCGTGTCGCTCCATCCGACATACACTTACAAACACACAAACACACACCTTATCATGAGCGATAGATACCTGGGTTACCCATCCATCCAGCCATTCATTCATTCATTCAGCCATCGGAAAAAAGCCACACACTGACTCGCATTGCATTGGATTTGCAGACATACACATGACGTGCACGATACGTTCGTATCCATAGCGCTAGGCAGGCATGGCAAGGCAAGGCATGCACACCCGGCCACACACAAACTCGATGAGTCGATGCCCAGACAGACAGACAGAGAGGGGGCACACGCAGACACGGATGAATGAATGAATGAATGCATTGTGCATGTGTGTGTGTAGACAGGGCTTCCTTCATTCATATCACGCAGCCAAGTCAGGTCAAGCAAGAAGCCATGCACACAACACAACACACTGATCCCATCCCGCCTCAGCCCAGACGTATGGATGGATGGATGGATGGGGAAAAACCAGCATGGAAGGCAATCGAGAAAAACAGACGAGGAAGGAGACAGGAAGGAAAGCTTCTCAGTAGAGAGAGAGGGAGGGAGATTGAGAGTGAGAGTGAGTGAGAGAAGGATCAAAAGAGCAACGCCGCCTCGCCCCAGCCCAGCCACCAGCTACCCCGACAAACCAATCAACCAATCGCTAGCTAACCCACCCCTCTCCTCTGTCTACGTGCATTGCATTGCTTCCATTATTCACCTCAGCCGTCTACGCATTCATCCCTGCATGCTGTCATCTCCCTCTGGCTTGCCCTCGCCCTCTTCCCTATCCTTGTCCTCCCCGCCCCGCATCTTCTCCTGGTGCGCCTCACGCAGCAAAGCCAGCTGCTGCTTCAACGCCGGCGTCGGCGTCGGGTCGCCAAACCACAGCACCTTACCCCTACCCGACCCAGACATCAGCGAATCGCCCTTGGGCGGCACATCCCCCGCAACCTTTGCCTCTTGACGGGCAGGACGACCCTCGCTCGCCGCACGACCCGACACAGCACGGCCCTCCGAACTGGCCTGGCTCTGAGTCTCGACGGCCGTGTTGCTGCTGTGCATGTGTGTGTATCTGGGCGGGGGGATGCCGACGTTGTACATAAAGGACAAAGGCGGCACGGGGCCGAATCGGTAGGCAAAGGGCGGCGTCAGGGGGGGTCTATAGGCATAGTTGTAGACAGGGAAGCGGGATGTGGCAGCCGGGTTGGACGGCGAGAAGGTCAGCGGCCCGACTGATGATGGCTGAGACGGCGCAATTGGATTCTCCTCACGACGTCGATTGCCACCGCCCCCCTGTTGGCCGCCCAGCCCCTTGGCCTCCAGCTGTCTCGCGAGCCCCAGCGCAGCGTTCACGAGAGGGGGCGACCCTGCCGCTGCCAGCGGCATGGTAAACTGGCCTTGAAAAGGCATGGAAGAGCCGAAGGGGGGCCGCGCCGTCGGCGGCGCTGAGCTGACAATCACCTCTTTCCCCGGCACGAGGTCAGGCTTCGGCATACGCTCCTGCGGCAGATTGAGATGCTTGTAGGGGTCGAACTCGGTCAGCGATGCCGCCAGGATCTCTGTCGGCGCCTTGGGAAGGCCGTTTGGACCTCTCTCTGCCTCCGGGGCGCTCGTGGAGCTGCCTTTGCCGCTGTCATCGCCGATCGGTGCCTCCTCTGCTCTCGGCTGTGGCTGTTGCTGCTGCTGCTGTTGCTGCTGTAGCTTGTCTTGCTGCCACTTGGGCATGGCGAGCGCCGGCGGCCTGCCAACGGTAGCCAATCGCCCTGTGCCCCACACCAAGGGAGGGGGGGCCGTCAGCGGCCGCATCGGTCCACTGGCGCCGACCGGCGGTGGTGGTGAATGAGGCACCGGGAGATCCTCCTGGTCTTCCCCCTTGACCTCGGCGTCCTCCGGGACACTCGGCATGAGCGGAGGATTGCTGCTGGACCGCGACACCATGATGTCCGGTGCGCTGCCCGGGCAGGCCAGGAGGGGCGAGCGGGGGGCTGCAGAGGGGGATGACGCCTTGTCCGCTGACAGGGGCCGCGTCAGAGGCGGCGGGTCCGCTGACTGGGGGGGATCGGTAGAGCTAGCAGCGTCAGTCGATGCCGCTGCTGGTACTGGTGCTGATGAGTGAGTGGGAGGGGCTGGCTTGTCTTTGGGTGGCTCGCTTCGCTTGTTCTTGGTGGTCGACGTGAAGGTCGTCTTGCCTTGCCACAGCTGTATACACACACGACAAATCAATTTAACCACGGCCTGGCCTGTCTCCTCTGTGTGTGTTGCGCTACGGACCTCTTTGATAGTGGTGAGCCGCTCCTGTATCTCCAGCTCGCCGGGCGACATCGACAGAAACTGGGACTTGATGGGAAACGGCCCGTCAAACAGCGCCGCACGCGACATCTTCCCCTCCTTGCCCTGCTGCCGCACACCACCTTTGCCACCCTTCTCGCCATCGCCATCGCCCGCTGCTTGCTTCTCGTCCTTGATCGGCTGGGACACATCCCTCTTCACTCCACGCCCCTCGCCGCTGCCGCTGCCACTGCCGCTGCCGCTGTCTTGTTGTCTCCCATCGGTTGACGGCGGCCGACTGCCCCCTCTCACCGATACGCGTGGCGACAAAAGCCCGTTGTCCGCCGCTGCTTGTTCGGATGCCGCAGCTGCAGCGGACGGGCTGAGGGCTGGGGAGCCCATCATGACGGGTGGTGGTTGTGGCGGCTGCATCGGCCAAGGGGGCTGGCATGGAGGATTGTTGAACTGGTGGCCGTTCCATGGATGATGCGGCGGCTGTGACGCGCCCATGGGAGGGGTATGCGGGACACCCGATGGCGGCAGATACGGCGAGAACTGGTTGCCGCGGCCTCCGTACTGAAACGGTGGCGGGTAGCCTCCAGAACCGGCGAGATTCAGCTGGGGTGGGGGCCGCACCGACGGGCTAAGCGACAGGCCACCTGCTGGCTGTGTCGGATGTTGTTGTGGTCCCCTTGCCATCACATCACTAGGGCTAGAAGGCGGGGCACCCGGGATGCCCGAGCGTGGAGAGGTGTGGTTCTCCGACGGCTGAGGGCCGGCAGCAACACCACTACCGCTCCCATGGTTCGGCGGCTGGTTGCCCAGGCTGGCTCGAAGATTGGCTATCTGCCACTGCACAGACCTCAGTGCCTCAGAGAGCCGCGGGATGACCGCGTCCGCATCAGTCGCCGGCCGGTCGGACTGGCTCGTTGTGGCGGGGTATGAGAAGGGCAAGGGTGATGATGGAGGGTAGGTGAGATTCTGCTGCCTCTGCTGTGTGATGCGCTCCTCCAGCTCGCTCCGCTGCTGCAACAGGCTCTGCAGCTGCACCTGGCCCGAATCAGGGGGGGTGGTCTGGCTGGCCACCGGCGGCTCAGAGGGGAGCTCGGGGGCGGTGAATGAGCGGTGGTGCAGTTGTGGGACGCCAGCATGCATGTCGCTGCCGTGCATGCTGTAGATGGCCGACCCCATCCGCATGGGCATCATCGACGGCAGACTCTGGTACTGCATCAGCCGCGCGCGGTCCAGCTGCTGGTACTCCAACAGCTGACAAAGGGACGCCTGAGGGTCCATGCTTGACGCGTGGGGAGCGGGGGGCCGCGAAACCGCCGTCTCCCTGCCCCTCTCGCCCTCCTGCTTGCCTGCTGCCCGACCATCAGCTCCAGGGTCTGCACGTCGTGCGCCACCCCGATCGCTGCCGTCGTCTGGGCCAAGCAGCCCTTCCGGCACCTCACTTGGCGGCGACGGCACCACAGGCGGTTCGGGCTCGGGCGAGTTGGACGGCCGCGGCCTACCCATGTTGTCCGGCGCTACATTGGCGCTGCTCATGCTGACGCTCCGGTTGCCGATGAAGGAGGACGAGGGCGACGGCCGACCGACGAACGAGGAAGCAGGGCGGTGGACCTGCAGTCCGCTGAATGACGGGACCTTTGGCGGCAGTGCGACCTGCCCGATGTCCATGGGGTCGTCCTCCCTCACGAAGCCGTCGCCGGCACTGGGCTGCAGCAGTCGCTCGTCGTTGAAGTCGAGGAACAGCCGTTGTGGGTTATCGCGCTCCTCTTCCTCCTCCTCTTCCATGTGTGTGGGGTCAAAGAAGGGCTGCCAGGGGCCGCCGCGGACGGCCAGCCGCACGGCCATGGCGGAGGAGGGGCGAGAGGAGGGGTTATTGGATGGGGGGGCAGCAGCGGCACTGGGATGGATCCATTTCACCCACTCCGCATCGTCATTGGCCACGGCTCCCTCTTCGTTTCCCTCCATACCGTCCATGCCCTCCTCCTCCTCCTCCTCCTCGCCCCCGTGGCCGCTGCCGTCGCCAGCACCCCCGAGGTGGTCAGCAGCAGGGCTGGCCTTTGGCAGAGATGAGTCCGCATCCTGCTGGCTTGCCACCAGGCCACGCCAAGGTGATGTAGATGCGGGAGGCGCTGCGTTGGGCTCGCCCATGTAGAGGCCAGGGTGGCACTCGAGACCGGCGCTCTTCCTCCGCTTCTGCACGGGCTGCCCGTCGCCGCTGTCATGCTTCTGACCGTCGGCAGCGTGGGTGTGGGTGAGGTGGAAGTTGAGCATCTGCCGCTGCTCGTCCGAGAGAGCAGAAACTCCCCGGCATGCCAACAGCTGCTCGCTGAGCCTCCTGAGCTCCTGCCCGATGCGGATGACGTCCTCCTGTGAAGGGTCGGCCACGGGGGTCTCAGCCGCCTCCTGCTCGCACTCGGGTGGCGACTCAGAGGCCTTCTGCCGCGACGGTCTCTTGCGGCCTCGCCCCTTGCCCTTGCCCCTCCCTCTCCTAGTGGGAGCAGCGAGAGGCTCGTCGTCCGAGTCCTCCTGCGCCGCCAGCTCATCCATGTCGACCTCCTCGTCCTCCCTCTCCTCCTTCTTGCTCGCCCTCTTTCGTCGCCCCTTGCGCTTTGCCGCCGCACCGCCCTTCGCCTTGGCCTTTGGCTGGTGGCCCTTCCTCTTAACCGATGCTGCTGTGGCCGTGGCTGCGAGCGGGTCGGGCTGCTCCTCGTCCAGTGGCTTGAGGATGGCCGGATTGGGTAGGGTGAAGAGGCTCTTGGTGGATGGGGCGGGGAGAGAGATGCTCGAGTAGTCGAGGGGCATGGTGGGTGCGTTGCCGCAGGTGGTGGAGTCCATGAGGGTCAGCAGAGAGGAGGGCGAGTGCTCCAAGAAGCCGGGGAACGTTGGCAGCGGCAGTGGGGCGGGCACGCCTCGCTGCTGGTCCGTCTCGCCCTCCTGTGCTTCCTCCTCCTTTCTCCTCTTCTTGCCGCGACGCGTCTTGGACTCGCCATTCGACCCACCACCCCCCTCACCGGCCGCCTCGGGCCTGACCTCGGCATTGCTCTGCCCAGGCAGATCGAACGACAGCCCATAAGCGAACGGCCCACCCTCCCGCCCCAGTGGCCGCGAGGGGTGCGGACTCGGCGTCAAGCTGCTGTCGTCCCGCTTGTTGGTGTTGCTCGCACTGGTGGGCGACACCGCCTCGCCGCCGCCGCCGCCATTGTGATCTGCTGGCCGCGATGGGTGTGGTGGGCCTCGGGGTGGGAACACTGAGGAAGGGGGAGGGGGGAAGGGGCCTCCCTGGCCGATCCAGCCCGGGGGCCTGTGCAAACCGACAGGGAGAGGGGGGCGCCTCATGTCATGTGGGGGAGAGGGTGATGTGTTGTTGTGTGTTGTGTGTTGTGTGTGATGCGTGCGTACCCTTGGGCGAGGTAGGGGCCGTTGGTTGCGGGTGGAGCCACAGACATCCCATTGCTCCAGTACCCACTGCAATGACCAACAAGGCACACGAACGACATAGTTAGTTAGTGGTGTGTCCGCTGGCATATATCCCCATCTCTCTCTCGTCCCATCCTCACTTGAAGTTTGCGTCAGAGCTGCCCGGGCCGTATCGCTGCCCATACATCATCCCGCAAGGGCCCATCAAACCAGCGCTGTGCTGCGCATCCAGCTCCAGTGGTGCTGCCGCGGCGCTGGCACTCGGCCGCTCAGGAGCATCCGTCGGCCGGGGAGCAGCACCCTGTTGAAAGCCAAGTCACACACACACGACACACACGGATACCGAATGGACATGTGGTCCCTTTTTGTGTGCTGTCTTGTCAGCTGACTACCTTGGGGTCGGTTCTACGGTCGACCAGCTTGAGGTGTTTGTGCCACCTGTTCATGCACTCTGCCGCCATGCGCCCCTCGAAGTAGGCAGCCACGCTGTTCCAGTGGCCGCCGCTGTACTGCTGAACCAACTCGTGCAGCCGCTCGTCCTCTGCAGGAGTCCACGGCCTGATGCACACAGACAGACAGACACATACAGACAGACAGACCACCGTGTGCACATGAGGAACCAACCAGCTTCCCAGGCAGACACCTCACCTCATGTTGACAGCGGGGGGCGACTGTGCCCGCGGTCCTCCCAGCCCGTTCTCGCTGCCCGTGCGGCTGAAGGGCGGCCGCATGGCGCCAGGGTGGCCCATGCCCCCGTTCATGGGCATCTGCGGGGGGAACGAGTGTGGCGGCGGCATCGGACCGTCCCTGCCGAACGGCCCATACTGCCCAGGATGGGTCACCCAGCCTGGGAAGGGCAGCGGTGGGACGCCTCCCACACCCTGAGAGTCCCATGAGCGGACGCCATTCGACGGCTGCGGAGGCTGGGAAGAGGGTTGGTTCATGCCAGGTCGCCAGCCGGGTTCAAAATTGGTCCACAGCGCCTCAGCTGGTGTGCTGAATGGCCTGCCGACGTACGTCCACCATCAGCAGCCTATCGGCGTCGTTTCAACGGACCAATCTCGAGCGTGCGGCAAGAAAGACGTCATCATTGCTTCAAGGCATCTTCACGAGTCGCTGCGGCGGTGTACAGGGCCTTTCTTTCGGTTCCCTCTTCCCTTTCCTTCCTTTTTGGCTTGTCGACACGTGCGAGCTTTTTCCAGTCCCTCTCCCGATGTGAGTTAGGGCCGACCGCAACGTGAACCGGAGCCGGCGGCGCAGCGTGTCGAATACAGGGCAAGCAGCGGCAGATTACAACTGATCTGTCTGTTTGGACGACGGCTGCTTTTTCCTTGATCCCTCGCGCACAGAACGCTTGCAATTGGTTGAGCGTGAGAGGGACAAGAAAAAAAGGCCTGCTTAGAAGACACTCAATAGCTGACTGCGTTTCTGACCCGTTTGACGGCCTTTTTGCCGCGTCCCGTCCCGCCCCGCCCCGTCCCACGTCTCGGCGCATATGCCGGTGCATGGGTTATGCTCTCCCTACAGTAGGCAGACACAGACACGAAGATACAAAACGGACACACACCGACTGACAGACGTATGTCTTGACTGACTGACTGACTTATCGCCGAGCAGTGCAGTGCAGAGGGATGAACCACTTACTGTCGGTCAGGCCCGGTGCCTCGTGACATGAGCCGCCGGGCCTCACTGACACCTACCAACGGAACGCATAAGGCAGACTGACTGACTTGACGCCAAAAATAAAGACACACAGGCGAGAAAGACGACAGAGGGCATCCACACCCCCAGACAGCCGGACAAACAGACTGACGGACAGACAGACGGACAGAGAGAGAGAGAGAGGGAGACGACTACGTTCCTGCTTATTTACATATCCACACTACACTACACACTGCCTGACACCCTTCATGATATCAATGCATATGCATTCGAAAAACGCGATGGACCAAACGCATGCAATGCAGACGGACGGACGGACAGGCAGGCAGCAGCACGGACGCGCGGCAAAAAAATAGATGGAGTCAGCCAAAAATGGAGTCAGTCAGCCAGGCAGTCAGGTGTCACTGACGTGGAATATCTCGAGCCAGTCCGCCGTGAACTGCTGCTCGCCCCCCAGCAGCGCGTTGCCCTCATCGTCAACTGGCCCCGTGTAGCCAGCGGGGAGGTGGGCCTTGCCGAGGGCATGCTTCATCGATAGCAGATTGTCACTCTGACATACACACCACACCATCACCATTCATTTGTGTGTGATCGATCCTTGTGCTGGGTGGGTGGCCGTGGGTGTGACGTGACGGCTGGCTCACTTGTTCAGGGTCGTCCCATCCGAAGAGCAGGTACTCGCTGTGTGGGATGCTGATCTTGGCCTTGCCCCACTCGAGGGGCACCCCGCTGTCACGCGACGCCACAGTGAAGCCCTGAATATCTGACAGACACAGACACACAGGCAGGGCAGGCAACAAATACACCTCACTCAAAGGAAGGAAGCCGGCACATGCATCTGTGCACACGGACGGGGTGGGTAGGTACCTGGCGGCAGTCGGATCTTCGTCGGCCGGGCAAAGTGACCTGATCCATCCACAGCAACACACACACACACACACGCACACTTTTACTCCCGCATTCAATCAATGCAGACTGATATATATCAATGGATGCGATGCGCCACCCAACCCGCCCTTTCTGTGTCTGTCTGTCTGTCTGTCTGTGTCCTGTCCCCACCCCACCCCGCCCACCCGACGCCCTACCTAACCCACCTACCGTTGAGCGAAAAGAGCCAGACGGCACAAGAGTACTTGACATAGGGTATGGGAGTGGCGCCCACCGTCGACCCGCAGGGCAGCGTCTCCACCGTCTGCACCGTCTGCACCGGCTGCCGCCGCCAGGGCGGCGTCCACCTTGACGTCGCCCACCTTGACGTCGCCGGCGTGGTGCGGGTGACGGTGGTGGAGCCGCAAGTGGACGAAGCTCCTCTGCTCCCCGGCACCTGGAGGGTGTTGCCCAAGTAACACCCGTAGACGTACTCGCCCTTCCTCACTATCAACACTACACCACCTGTGGGTGGACAGGTGGGACACACACACACAGACAGACAGACAGACAGAGAGAGAAACGGCCAGGTAGGTAGGTAGGTACGCAGGTATGTATATTCCCTAGATTCATTCACACGTGTCATGTGTGTCAGTCGGTGGCAGGCAGGAAGACATGGCTGCTCACTCCCTTACTTGTGTCTTTGACTTTGTCGAGCATGTCGCCGTGTGAGGTGCCGTCGCGATCCGACCTGACCGACAAACAAAGGCACACATGCGACGGGGATATGTGTGTGTAAATGTATGTGTCTGTGTTATGTACTTGTAGAGAAGGTCGAGTTTCCTATTACCCCCGCCGGCCGCCTCGCCGAACCAGGCAAGGAGCCGGTAGTACTGGGCGGCCGTCAGATCACTCCCGGGGACCGGACCGGCTGGCTGCAAGTAAGCACAGACAGCACCGACAGACGGACAGACGGACATCACGTCATCTCATCTGTCTATCTGTCTATGTGGATTCTCTCGTGAACTTACAGCCGGGGGCGGCGGCGCTGGTGTTGTTGTTGTTGTAGTCGTTGGCGGCGGTGGAGTTGTCGTAGTTGTAGTTGTAGTTGTAGTCGTTGGCGGCGGTGGAGTTGTCGTAGTTGTAGTTGTTGTTGTTGTTGTTGGGGGATCTGTTGGAGGCATCGTTGGTGGTGGTGGCGGTGCCGTTGTTGTTGTCTGGGGCGGTATTGTTGTGCTTGTCGTCTGGGGCATTGTCCGGGGAGTTGTCGGGGATGGGGGCGTTGTCTGAGGCATCGGCGGGAGCTCTGCGTGTCTTATTCTTGGCCGCTCGGTCCGCTCGGGCCGCTCTCCTCCTCTCATCACTGCCTGGGTTATCGCTGGGGGCTCTGAATATATGCAATTTACACACAAGCAAAGCAAAACAGATCGATGGATGGATGGATGTAGCTGTCTGTGTTACGCGTTTGTCGATCGGCTTACCTTCCTCTTCCTTTTGGCAGCTGCCGTCGTCTGTTCGTGTGTATCCTGCCTTGCACACGCACTCAGCAACGCCCTTTGTCTCCTCGTTGCTGTCACCGTCACCATCATCAGGCCGCCGCACCTGCAGGCACACGCACGCACACACACACACACACAGACAGGCAGGAATGGGTCCATGTCTGAATGTGTGTGAGTAGGTCCGCACCTCGCACTTTTGGTTTTCTCCTGGGCAGTACTTCTGTGCGCACAAGCTCACGCACCAGGCCCTTCTGTCACCGTCCTGGACACAGGTCTCGTTCCACTTGCAATACGAAGCCAAGTCCTCGCAAAACACACCTGCAGGCAGGCACCGAGCAAACAGATGTGCATTCAGAGACGCGTCCATGTGAGTGCGTCTATGTGAGTGCGTCTATGTGAGTAAGCAAGCGTATAGGCAGGCAAGTGTAAAGATGTGTGTGTGTGTGTGTAAGTGTTGGTGCCTGGGTCGCAGTCGCCGCCGTCCCATTCGCACTCGGGGTTGTAGCACTCCAAGTCGCACACGTCGTCGTTCCAGAAGTTCTCTTCACGACAACGCCCCTGGCAGCCCGGCGGGATCTCTCCCCTGTCTTCTACCGAGGAGCCAACTGCACCCACCCCATCCAACACACAGCCACAAACACAGACATGCAGCCGGATGTGGATCAGATGTGGCACATCCCTCTGTCTGGCACGGCAGATCTGTCTGTCTGTCGTCAGCCATTGGCAGGCACTCACGTACCTTGCAACCTTCTCGCTTTCCTCCTCTTTGCGTCAGTGTCGACGACGCCGACGGAGAGCAAGGCAGCCAGGGCGACTGAGAGAAATGCAGCCAACTTCACCAGCGTGACCTTATAGCGCATCAGGTGCTAAGAATGCCGCTTGAAAATGCGTTTTCCCCCTGTCACAAAAGATACATTGGGAGGCGAGCTCATGCGAGCTTCGGGATGGAGAGGCGAAGAAGGGAAAGAGGGCACGCAGGCATACAGTGTGACTTGAGCAAGAAATTGGACTTCAGCGGCCTAAGATTATCTCACCTGAGGCTGGAGCCGTGAGTGGAGTGGGAGCTCTGTCTGTCATCGCCGTGGCAAGCTGACCACGGGTTGCGGACCAGCAAGGGATTACCGATTGACAAGACGGGATGGCTGGAGCAGTGGAAGGAGTGATGCAGAGGATGGCAGGGTGGCTGCTCCGGCGGATCTTCATCGCTGCACTGATCATCAAGGTGACAGATGAGATGACCACACACACGCGCAATTAATCTATAGACAAAACAAACGACCGACACCTTCTGTTACTTGTCATTGTGCCTGTGCACTGCAGGCGTGCATCCTCCGCCTGCACCCGTCCATCCACCGGTCTGTCAAGGCCGTCACATCTCTGCCCTGGCGACTGTTGTCCTATCTCTTGCTCCGACTTGTCGTCCTCGAGCGATGGGCGGCTCAGGTGGCCTGTGCGAGGCGCTCAACCAGGCCGCCGGGCCGCCCGTCTGGCTCCCGGATGAGTGCCGCCAAGGAGGAGGCCAGGAAACGGCCGCAGCATATCGCCCTGGTCTTCAAGTCAGATGAGCTGCAGGTCGGTGGGTGCATCGGTGGAACAGATGGCATGGTTCCTTAACATGTGTGTGTATGGATTGTGTTGTGTTGTGATGTTTGTTGTGTGGCTGCCCTGCCAGCATGTGCCGGGGCTGCTTGAGGACTGCTGTCGTATGTTGGGCGTCTGTTGGGAGACGCACATTGAGTGCGTCACCCTCTTTGATGAACGAGGTAACAGTCGATGCACACACATCTCATCTGATGGCCATCCATCCATTCATCAATCGGGAAGCATGAGTGTCTGTCTTGACTACTCATCCATCTGTCTGCAGGTTTGCTGAAGCCGTACGCCTCTTCCCTGTATGTGTACGTCCCCAAGCCCGTCCGGCAGCATCTCTCTGTGACGGTCCCCTCCCTCTCGCCCTCCTCATGCGGCTGCCCCATCACAGACGGCGACCTCCCCTCCCCCACCTCACACACTTACGTCTCATCCAAGACCTCCAGCCCGCCCTCCACACCCACCACCGCCTCACATCTACGCAGCGCCAGCAACACGCCATCCGTCAGCACTCTATCAGCCGACACCGTCACAGACACACTCACAAGACGCAACAACAATCACACCAACAACAGCAGCAGCAGCAGCCACAGCAACAGCAACAACAAGAGGGCGACACAGCTGCCCCCAGAGGCAGTGGCAGTGGCGGCGACGACGCAGTCGACGGTGAGGCCATTGCGGGTGCGGATACTGTCAGGAGAGGACGGGAAGGACGACATGAGGAGGGCTGCACGTGAAGGTGGGGGAGGGTCCGGCCCCGACAGGCCCCGGACACCTGACACGGATGCAGGTGGGCCGGAGGAGGCCGTGGTGGGCCGCCCAGGGAGGGACGGTGGCGTGAGGGGCGAGTGGGGGAAGCTCAAGGCACAGCTCACGGCCAGCTATGACGACACTTACGGGCGGCTCAGATGTGGAGGTAAGCAATGAAAGACAGGGCCGACCGACTGCATTCATTGTAACTGTCTGTCTGCTTCGCTTCCTTCAGGAGACTTTCCCTATTGTGACATGATCGTGGTCGTGCGGCCTCCCCCATTCCCATCATCCCTCTGGTCGAAATGGTCCCTCTCGGCCGCTCTCCGACACACTGTGAGGCTGGTGCTGCGGTCCTTGGTGTCGATGCGGTCATCGCTGGCAGCCTTCTCACGCTGGCGCAGGCGGCTCAAGGGTTGGGTGATGCACATTTTGACGCCCGCTGACGTGCTGACTGTGGTCGAGCCACTCAGAGGCCTGCCGCCGTATCTGCTCACTTCGGCTGAGATCTAGTAAGCGCCAGCTGGCCACACACACATATACTCGACTCCTTTGTGTGGCTGGGTGATGTCCCTGCTGTGCGTGTGTGCGTATTTGCAGCGAGTTTTGGGGCGAGGGCGATGCGCCATTGAGAAGGTACGTGCATCCGATTGATTCATCACGCTCAAAACAACAGGCAGGCGACAGACATGTTGCAGCCACTTGTGTGTGTGTGTGTGTGTGTGTGTGGTCCAGAGGTCTTAAGAGTTATGCCATTACGACACAGCGGTGGGGGAGGTGACGGCGTGTCCCTCCAGTGAGTGAGTGAGAGTGTGTCCCTCCCGGCTTGTCTGTGCATTTGTTTGTACTGGCGGTGGTTTTGATGTGTGTGCTTGTGTACATTGACCGACCGTGTCCGTCTTTCTGGTACTAACTAATTAACAAGTCAGTGTGAGATCCGCATGCACTTCCAGCTCGCAGCAGAACAACCAAAAGGAGAAGATGAAGCTTCTGCTGCTTTTCCTCGTCCAAGGCGCTCTGCACGCCTTCCACGCCCCTCTGCAGCCCAGATCTCTCCACCTGTATGCTCATCTGACTCGGCACAAACGCAGGAGTGAGCAGCCATGCGTCAGCAGCAGCACACGGCTGCATGCCGCGGATGATGACCAGGGCGGCGGAGAGGGCGACGCGATGTCGCATTCGCAGACTGTGGATGTGTCGTATCAGTCTGACGAGTCATTCGAGGCAGCGAAGCGCATCGTGGACCAAAAGAGAGAGGTGAGGCGTTCACAGACAAGAGCATGACACACGCGCCTGCACCCATCGATGCGTCGGTGACGGTGTGTTGTCTGCAGGAGCTCTTCGACGCCGTCAGTGATGTGACAGCCTCACACCCTTTTGGCTTGGGCGCACCTGAAAAAGACGTCAACAAGATCGGGCGGGTGAGCATTCACTCACTTGTGAGCCTGCTATGCATCATACATACAGGCTTCCTGTGTGTGTCGTGTGTGTGTCAGCTGGTGAGCGAGTTCGAGTCATCTGTGCAGGACGCTCAGATGACGCCCAATCTGTATGAGGACCTGGCAGACGTTTCCGGGCTTTGGAAGCTGATTTATTCATCTGGTTTCGCGTCGGGCAGTCTCGGCGGGATGCGTCCAGGGCCCAGGCTGGGAGCTGCAGTACCGTTCCGTGTTAAGCGGGTCTACCAGGTGGGTCATTGATGGACGGACGAATCCATCAGCCAGGTGGGTCTCTCACGGCCTTGCACCTCCTGTGTGGTCTCTTTCAGCGGATCGGTTCTCGAGGCGACCGCATCGACAACATCGTGGAGCTGCAGTACTCAAATCTGGTCCAGTCGATCCCCTTGCCCAAGCCACCCCTGCCGACACTCGTCCTTTACCATGAGGCACAGATGGGCGACCCACAGATGTACCCGTCACGCTTCCGCATCTTCCAAGACAGGACGACCATCTCGCCGAGATCGTACATCGACATCGCCCTGGACCCGTCTTTCGATGCCGAGACAGCTTTCTCGCGGCCGCGGATTCGCAGGGCACCTGAGGGTGTGATGGGCGGGGAGGGGCTGGAGGGCTTTCTGATGAAGAACCTGCCTGACCTTGACCTGCCACTGGGTACGGCGTCTTTGCCGATAGGCCAGCGGGAGGCGAGGAGCGGCTTCTTCGACGTGATCTATGCAGACGGGCAGAAGAGGGTCACACGGGGCGATAGGGGCGAAATCCGCCTGTTTGTCAAGGCATGAGTGGGTGGGTGGGTTGTCGATAGAGAGCCGTGCATGCTGTCAGCAACGCGTGCGGTTCCTTGTCTGTTGAGAGAAGATGGAGGCAGGCTGTTTTACAGAGAGAGTGAGAGCAGGAATGTACAGCTAGCTAGTGGGAAGAAGTGAGTGAGTAGGTTCGGCTGCAGGCAAGGCAAGGCAAGTGTGTGACTTTCATCAGTAACCAAGGCAACGTGAGAATCGCCCGTGGTTCTGTTAGGCTTTTCCTGTCGCGAATATGTGTGTGCGCGTGAGAATAGACTGACAAGTGCGGTGCATGTGGCGTGAACGGGTAAAAGAGCTGATGATGGGAGAGCTTCTGGTTGCGTCACACGCATTTTGGGGTCAATCAGCCGGCCAGTCAATCGTCACACTCGAGGCACACCAGTCAGTCAGTCAGTCGCATGCACAGCCGGTCGGTGTCTGTCACTCAATCAGTCACTGTGTATTCACATGGCCACGCAGACCAGACCGGTACCTATCACGACAGCCAGCCATCGCCAACAGAAAAAAGGGAACGGACATTCACACATGCATCACCACCCACTCACACAGCCAGCCAGCCGGCCAGAGACGCCAAAACATGCATCCCATTCATTCTGCTTGCAAGCTTGGTCAGCCGAGGTGAGGGGCGCTGGTAGATGTGAATTGGCTACTGCCGAGCGGCCGCCTGGCTCATTGAGCGCATTTGGAAGGCGGGCGGGTCCCTCTCCATGGCGCGGGCCGACAGGGCGGCCTTGCGCCGCAGATAGAAGAAACTCAGCAGGAAAGTCACGACGTAAAACTGACACACACATAAGAGAGGGCGCATGCAGCACCTAGCTCGTGTGGTGCTCTGTGGGAAGGTCTCACTCACTCCTGCGGCGATAAAGCAGCTTGTGGCGGCGGGCTTCTTAAACTCATTGGGCACCTCCATCACGGGCGACTCGATTCGCAACAGAGAACCCCATATGAGCTGACGAACCAGTGACACACACACTTACACATATATTCGGCTCTACTTCTGTCTGCCTTCCTCAGCTGAGCCGTCTGCATACCAGAAGGATGACGCCAGCGACTGAAAGAATCTGGCAGCAGCTTGCGCAGCACACTCCGAGTTCCATCGCAATGCCTCGTCAGCTCAGGCGTCACCACAAGACCGCTGTGAGATGGCGACGTTCGCTGTGGCGCCCAATTCTTGGAAGAAGGTAAGCAGAGGCACACTAGCTTCGAAGCGCTCTGGTTTTCTCAAAGCCGTCGTCATCGTCCCTCCCAGCTCGCAAAACCCTAAGCCCCAGACCCTGAGGTTGGCAAACAAGTAAGGCGCCAAGCGAGCTGAGCGCGATGCACGACCCCCGCAGGTGAGAGCGCTGTTGAAGGAGAATGGGGAGGTGTGTCCACATACACGAAGCATGTCATCATGGAACAGCATGAAGGTGAGTGAGTGGCTTGAATAAAGAAAACACGGCACGGCACATCACAGGTCATGCAGCTGTGTGTGTCTGTGTGTGTGTGTGTGGTGTAGCACGAACACGAACAGGCAGAACACAGGCAGAGAACGCACGCAGCAGCACAGCACAGCACAGCGCAGCACGAGCAGGCATGAAGAGGCAGAGCAGGTGTGGTGTGGCCGGGAGGCGCAGACTAAAACGATGGCAGGTCAGGGCGTCAACACAAAATGACCGAGGAGGAGATATGTGTGTGTGTGTGTGTGTGTGTGTGGAATCACTTCTTGTCCAGCTTCTTCTTGATCTCCTTGGCCTTCTTGATGTCGAGTTTGTTGGGGGCCACGCTCTTGAGGAGCTTGCCGAGAGCCGACTGGTCATTGGCCTTGGCGAGAGCAGCCCACAGCTGGACGGCGTCCTTGTCGTTTGCGTCGATGGCGTCGCTGAACTCTGCACACAGAGAAAAGAGAGAGAGAAAGAGAGGCGTCGCTGTGTGGGAGGCGTGGGTGAATGTGTGTGTGTGTGTGTGTGTGTGTGGCGTTTGTGTGCAGGTGGGGAAGCTGTCACGATCACATGTCGAGGCCCTGATAGAGAGGCTGCCCGCCCATCAAGTCCTCGCTGTGTTCGACACACATGTCTGCCCGTTTCAGTAGGCCTCACTGTCCTTCCTTTTATGTATCTGTGTACAGTGCATGTGGATATGTATCGGTTTACCATTAGGTGTCGTGCTTGTCGTTCTGTTGTCTTACAATGCTCATGCTCTGTCTGCATTCGTGCCTGTGCCGTATGTGTCTCTCTATTGATCGCCAGGACTGTTCTCACCTTTTTGCGTGTGATTTGATACGATGTGCATGTCCAGATGCTTCGGTGTCTTGGCGTGTTGACAATCGATGGTTTCTGTTGCGTGTCTTTGCGTGTTTTCGTACATGTTTGTCATGGTGTTGTCTGTGTTCTCTTCTACATGTTCGTCTGGGTCCTCTGTCGTTCTCTGTTCGCCCGTGAATGTTTCTTGGAACGTCTGTCTCATATGCACGCCGATTGGCCATGAAACACACCGTCTCGCACCTTAGGCAGTGACCGACCGACCGTCCGTCAGCTCCTCGCCTCCGATTGCCGGGGCACAGATGGACACACGGTCTGCGACGCACTAGCGAGGTCCTACTTGAAACTCCGAACACATACACACAAAACACAATCACTCACCCATCAGAAGACACCTCCTTGCCCCATCTTGGCACTTGAATGGTCCTCGTGCGCGTCTGCACTGCGTGTGGGTAGATGACGATGTTCTGGCCGACCTCCAGCCGCCCCGACAGCAATGCAATTGCAGCAATGTCCCCGTCAGCACGGTGCCTTGCCCTTCAGAGGAGCCAATGACGAGGCGGCGTGGGTGTGTTTCTCACCCGAGCTCTGTTCGCCGTTGTGCGTGAGGGGCCTTCACACTGGGACTGATTTTGA